GACACTTGGGACTGTTTGTCCTGAAGGGGCTGATTTCAAAATTAAAAGGGTAGGGGCAGGTTCTAGTGGCCTCGCATGTAAGAGGTGACCCCTGTGAGGACACAGGTTGAGAACATGCTTTCAGGTCACTGCTTCAGCTAGTACTCGCACCAGGAATGTTTGCTAATCCACATAGAAGGTTCCCAGGGCCCCACGGCCACAGATGAGAGATACAGGTACCCGAGCAGGTGGAAGGGCTTACAGACTCCCCTCCAATCAGGAAGGGCCTTCGATCAGCACCACTATACGTGGTTAGAGCTAAAATGTGGTTCAGCCACCAGGGTGTGGCATGGTTCTGTGACTTGCTTACTACATAAACCCACTCAGGCCTGTCCTTCCCTGGACACACTGGCTGCGGGATTCAGTGGGCAAAGCCCTGGCGGGCAGCCTTCACTGCCTGAGCCGCTTGGTTACATAGTCCCCTGCCCTCGCCTCCGTTTCTCATGGAAGATGGGCTGAGCTTGTTGGCTCAAGTTACGAGTTCCTTCAAATAACAAAAGCAAGTGCTGTATTCACTTACCTGCCTGGATGCACTGGGTTTTGTATTTCATTAGATGGTCTAGGCAGCCTGGAAATTTGAATGAAACTTTTTACATTTTAGAAAAGGTATCAGTGCTCCACACCCTTGCCAACAAGTACACACACATATATGCTCACCACACCCCATACGAATTGCCAGAACATTCAAGATGTGAGGTAAGATAGCAGATTTAAGTGGGACACGAACATTTTACTGTTGAACAGAAGATTATCTACCCGTGAAATGAAAACCAGAGTCTAACTTAAATGCAGCCTTTATCACAACAGGATCTATGATCCCCCAAGAAGATTCAAACCAGCCTTTAAAATGAGGTTGGATAACATGTGTAAATACTGCCCCTACCAGGTGGTGGAGCTTAATCTACAACACACTCCCATCCCATGTGGGGGAGACATAGTGACTTGTTTCCCAAAACTAGACTTGGGAAGGGGAAACAGTGTATTTACATGGAGAAGACTGGCAGGTGCCACTTAACCAAGTGATAAAGGTCAACACTACCAATGATGTGTGGATGTCACCTACCCCTGATGGGGTGCCATGAGAAGGGTGCCTCACCCCTGAAGTATACTCAGATGGGAGACATTATACGGACGCCTGACCAGCACTCCTCAAGACTGTTAAGGCCGTGAGGAACAAAGACTAAGAAGCTGTCACAGACCAGAGGAGATTGGGACAGCAAGAGGACATTCATGGAAAAGCAGGCAAAATCCAAATAAAGTCTGGAGCTTAGTTAATAAAATGTACAAACGTTGGTTTATTAGTTGTGACCTATGTCCCATGGCAATGTGAGACCTTAATGATAAGGGAAACATTAAAGGGTATATGGAAACTCTTTGAACTATCTTTTCAACTTTCCTATAAATTTAAAATCATTCCAACACAAACACATTTATATTGTCTAAGATGAGGTTTGTTCTCATCAAGAAAGCTAGAAACTGCTGTGTAGTAAGAGGTGTGGCACCAAGAAAACCCTGGACCACAGTCTCAAAAAAACAACGATTGGAAATTGCCTATTTGGAAATTCACCTGAGACAGAGCAGGAGTGGGGTACAAAACAGGTGACCCATTCCAGATGGGGGTGCTGTGGGAACTGCTGCAGCCAGACACCATGCTGGCACCTTCACCCATGATCCTGTCTCATCCTAACCCCAGCCCTGTGTGTGACATTGCAGGTGTGACCCTGGGGAGCTGATGGAATGATGTAAAGCAGGGGAAAGAACCCAACATTCAACACAGTGCCACCTGCCTTCACCAGCAGTTCAGGGACACACCTAGTGGCTGTACATCCTCAGAGACCCTGCAGTATGCTCTCAAACAACACAGCATGCTAGGAAGCCAAGACTTGAACAAACATTTTGTTATTTTCAAATATATCAATCTACCTTTTTTAAAAAAATTTTTTAGAATTATAGAGAGAGAGACATTGATGTGAGCAAGAAACATTGATCAGTTGCCTCCCACACACATCTTGGCTGGGAATCGAACCTACGACCTTTTGGTATATGGGATGATGCTCCAACCAATGGAGCCACACTGGCCAGGGCTGGAACAAAATGTTTTGCATCGGTGACAAAGAGTGGCTAAAGTGCATGGACCAACAAGGACCAGAGTTTGAATGTCAGCTTCTCTCTTACTGTGCGTGTGACCCAGGCCAAGTTCCTGGAGAAACGTCTTCACCTGTAAAGCTGCTATCCCATCCTCAGGACTATTGGAGGCTTATGTGACAGGATGCATCCAAGTGCTCAGCATAGTGCCTGACACATGGAAATGGGCTTTTCCCCAATTTTACCCCCTCTGCTCTGAGGTGCAGTTACTGTGGTGTCCATAGTACAAGATGTGGTAAGGCCAAACGTCTTGTCCAGGGTACCCTGACCTCCCTATACCAAGCCACATCCCCAAAGCAAGCCTCCCAGCAAGACAGAATAACAGAAGATGGAGGAAGTTTACCTGGTGAGGTGAAATTCACAGACAATGAGGGGCTGTCATCATTCATATTTGCATTGGGGATGTTATGGGCCCCAATGAAATATTGTGTGTTCAGCTCCACAGAGAAACCAAGGTAGGAAAACGTCCACTGAAAGGCAAAGGAAGGACTCCTAAATTTCTGAAACATGGCAATGCAGGAACATAGTACCTTTGTGTGGCCTTTTCATTCATGGTTTCATTCCTTAGCCTACTGCTCAAACTTAGGTCTCTAGTCAATGTCTATTTAGAGCAGGAGTGGGGAATGTCCGGCCTCGGGCCGTATAAGGCCCTCGAAATCTGGCCCTGCCAAGGCATTGGGGGTGAATTAATTAAATGTTTGACCAAATATAGCAGGCCAAGTTTTAACTTGGTAATTTTATATGGCCTGTGAATGATGTAAATACCCAAATGGCTCTTGGCAGAAAAAAGGTTCCCCACCCCTGACCTAGGGAATGGTCCCCACACAATTTGTCCGTGTAACTCACAGAAGCAAAAAAGTGTAAAATTTTAGAACCAAAATATAAGTTCAGTCTCCCTCACTTTGCTGATGGGGAAACTGAGGCTGAGAGCTGCTGACTTGCCCAAGGCACACAAAAACGGGCTTTGAGCCCAGACAGCATGCTCCAGGCTGGAAGCTGCAGTTGCTCACCAGCCTATGTGTGCAGCACTCCATCCATATGCCTTAGCAAAGGGCCTTCCTAGTGTTAAGGACAAGTTTCTCCAAGTGCTTACTTTGCCGCCAGAGGGTCTGGTCTGAGTCTGGAAAGCCTCTGTGTAATTGCACCTCACGCAGCTGTAGGACTGGACGTGGCTTTTGCCTGACACACAGATCTTGGTGGCCTTCAGAAAGCGGATGCTGGCTAATGAGAGAGACGAGAGCAGCTGGTTATTTAGCACCCATTATGTGGTCAGCTTGATGCCAGGAGTGTACATGCCTCATCTCATTTCATACAACAGACCTGAAAGGTAGACACCATTGTTGTCCTCAGCTCACGGATGGGGTGTATGACATTTAGGGAATTTCAGGGAGATTTGCCTAAGCTCACTAAGCTCATTGGGTAGAATATGGATTCAGATTCCAAAGCCCAAATGTTTTCCTCATCACAGCTAAGCCTGAATTTCACAGGATACCTACAAAGGTGACTCTAGCTTGCACTAGTCTGAGTCTCTTCAGAAGGAAGAACCTTCCAGAATGTCATCACCAAACCATGCCTGCTCTGACTGCACTTACATTCATGCCAAGTCTTCTTCCTGGAGTGCCCTTTTCTCCTATCTGCCTCTCCAGGGCTTGCTCCCTCAGGGCCCAACTTATATCTATAGCAACGGCTGACAGATACAAGAGCTCACTCTGCTAAGTATGGGGCCAATCGTGTTATTGCAACATCTAATTTAAAGTGACCTCACCAGGGCCCTCTCCTCTCTTCCCGGCACCCATCGACTCACAGCTCCTTCTGGGATTCTGAGCACTGTCCCTGTGCCCATGTCCATAGCTGATGCACCTCTCTGTGCCTGGCACTCCCAGAGTCCTGACCAAAGGGAATTTAACTGAATTTAGGGTGGAAACATGGACTTTAGGACCCCGGAATTGGCTCATCACAAGCTGCCTTGGGGGGCTGCCAGGATTTCCACAAGCTACTGAGAAGTGGGAAAGTCATCTAAGCCAGTGCTTTTCCTTTTTTTCCCCCTCTTAAATTTTCGTTGAATTCATTGGGGTGACATTTGTTAATAAAATGATTTAGGTTTCAAGTGTACAATTCTGTAATACATCATCTGTATATTGTATGCTCACCACCCAAGAGGTACTTTTCCTAAACCTGGGGGAGTCATCTCTGTCCTCAACTTGTCTTCTTCCTTCAGGTGTGACATTATACACCAAGAACCACACAGATCAGAAGGGCTCCACCTGTTGAGTGTTCACACTCCGGTAGCCAGTACCCAGGTCGGAAATACCCCAGGAGTGTCCCTCTTGCTTCATTTCATTCACTCCCAGCCCAGCATAACCACTATCCTGACTCCTAACTGCTTGCCTTAGTTTTGTTTGTTTTGCATTTTTATTAATGGAATCATATGGTACACACGACAATAGGCATGTATGCAGATATGAATGTAGAAATGCTTTTGAATCTGGCTTCTTGGATTTGTGAGATTCATCCACATTGTGTATTGTCACAGCTTGTTCGTGCTCATTGCTCTATTGGATTCCAATCTGTGATTACAATTCTAGTCAGGCATTTCCATCTTTTGGCTGTTATGAATAATGCTACTATGAGCATTCTAGTCTGTAGTTTTGGGTGCATGTATGTATATATTTTTCTGGGCATATGTCTAGGATTAAAATTAAAGGATCACATAATCTGCACATTTCTACCTTAACTTTGATTGATGCAAACTTACCATCTGCTCGGAGTATCCAGCTTATGTTCATCAGAATTGAAGAGCTTTTCGTTACAACAGGTTCCACTCGAAGGTCCCTCAAGTCTCCTGGGGTCAGAGTGTGACTGACCATCCACTCTGGAGAAGGTCCTGGGAGGAGGTGAGACTGCCCATGACACACCCCTCCCTCGCCCAATTCAACGCCATCTGCTCTAAGCGACTCTCCCTGATCCAACCCTCATTCACAGTCCTTTGCTTCTCTCTGCTGAGGCAGCCTGACATTTTTCAGTGTTAACTGACACAATCTCCTGGCCCCAACCTACAGACCACTTGGGACCACTCTAGGTGCCTCTGTGTGTCTGTGTATTTATTTAGTGTATTTGACATGTTTATTAGAATCAGTCTTGCCTTCCCCATGCCTCAGCCTGGACTCCATTCAGCTGGCCCACATACTTCCCACTTTCTAGTCTTTGCAGGTACCATCTCTCCTCCAGCTCACCCTCTTCATCCACATTTCTTGGACAGAAATCCACCCAGTCTTCAAACGCTACACTCTCAAACACTCCTTCTCTAAAATACTCGCTTCCTGTTTCTAAGTGTAAGTGACCGCCCTCAGCTCTTGCTCTCCCTCCCAGGAGTGGCAGACCTCACTTTCTACCTTGCACAGCCATTCCTGGCCTGCCTGTCCCCTCTTG